AGACGGGCAGCAGAAGAGGCCAGGCTGGGGCACGGGAAGGAGACAGGGCTTCCAGAGGGAAGGGCCAGGGACCATCGGCCTCCCCCAAAATAATCAGCATGTTTCTAAGGCACCACGCAGCAGCTCCTCAGGGCGCCGAGGCTACAGCCCCACCAAGGAGTATGGAGCTGAGGCCTCCCGCGAGAGCCAAGAGGAGATGGAGATTCCAGCCGCTTTGTGTGTGTGGCCCTGCCCGGGTTTCCTGCCCGCTGGTCCCCAACCAGACGTGTACCAAGGCAGGGATGGAATAGGCATGGGTGAGCCCAGCACGCAGGGCCCCATGCCCAGCAGGGGGGCACAGCACACGTGAGGACAAGCCAGGCTCCCCATGGGCCGGCCCCACCCTGCAGTGCTCACAGGGCCCTGGGGGGACTGTTTCCTGGAGAACACCAAGAGGATGCAAAAGGCCGGACCCTCCGCTGACGTAAAATGACACAGTTTCCCCGTAGTCAATGATCTGCACCCGCCGAGGGGCTGGCCCCTCCCTGCCATTCAGTTTTGTTTGTATCCTGTGCCTCATCTCACTGGGATTGTGATTCTGGATCGGTCAGTTTCACTTCCTGGTTCTGGGCTCCCTCTATTGCCTCTCTTGTGGGGCTTGTCTTCACTGCAAAGCTTAGGTTGCCCTGACCTGACCCGCTCTCCTCCTCCCCTCCCGCCCACAATTCTCCAGCTGGAGGGAATGGAGCCTGGCCCAATAACTCCTAGCACATTTCCTCAGCTTTCGAGGTGTCTGGCTCGGCAGGGACACACTTCCAGGCTGTTAACACGACCCCACAGCTGCTAGTCCAAGCCGCATGCGGCTGCTCTCGCCGGAGCTGAGCTTGCTCCAGTTCAGTACCCCAGCAGTGCAGACAGGTGTCAGGGCTCCACGCATGCTGCCCGCACGGCACAAGGGCGTCCCACCCAGACACTCACTGGTCAGGTTGTACTTGGCGTGGAGGTTCCGGCGGGCGTAGTACAAGATCGCAGGCACCTTCCAGTTCATGTCAAACTGCACAGCCTCGCACTGCGGCGGAGGGAGGGACAGGTGTAAGCACAACTCGGGGGGCCTCGCCTGCCACAGGTTGAGCTCGGGGGGGGGGGGATCTTCCCCCCACTTCCCACAAAGAGGGACAGGGCAGCACTTCACCAGCTCAATGCCCCTGCATGCTACAGAGGATTCTATAAACATGGGCGTGAGATTAAACCCAGCCTGCCCCTCAGCAGAATTAGGGGGTGCTCTCTGTCCCTGTCCTCGACCCATCTTCCCCCACACCTCAGCAAGACCCCCAGCCCTCTGAAGAAGGTGCCATGCGTGCTGTGTGCAGCCCGGGGAGTTTCAAAGCAGCAGCACCGCATGGAGCCCACGCCTCAGCTGACCCCAGGCGCCATGCGGCGCTGCCGCTTTGAAACACCGCAGGGAGCACGGGGCCAGCAGGGCCCCACAGCACTTTCCCCTTTGAAGTGTAGCAATAACCCTCAGGCTGTTGCTGCACTTCAAAGGGGAAAGTGTCCTTATCGACTAATCGAATAGTCAATGCAAATTGCATCGACTATTCGATTAGCCAGTCAATCAACATTTAACATCCCTAGTGCCAGCACAGGTGACTGTCACGCGTTGCCCCCACCACCCACATGGGCTGCAGAGGTGTCTAGATTTCCTTTTGGCTCCCACTGCCTCTGATGTGCAGGGTGCGCGCTGCCTCCGCAGCAGCAGCTGGGAACAGGCAGCTCTCAAGATGGGCAGCTGGAGATGCATCATCTTACAGCCATGAGCGGCGGTGGGAACTCAAGTCTGCGCCTTTCCCCCACTGCTGCTGCAACCCCCATCCTCCTTCACTTCCCAGCAGCATTCGGTACCACACACACCAAGCTGTGATGGGTAGCAGCAGCCTGTCCCCTAGTCACGGGGCCGATCACACGGCTTATTCGGCACAGGGCAGAAGATTCAGGATTTCCCATTGTGGCAGCTGAGCCCTAAACCTGGTTTGGCCTAGCAACTCTTAGCACATTTCCTGAGCACCACTGAAAGTGGAAATCAGGAGCATTATCCCTGCTTTACAGAAGGGGAAACTGAGGCATGGAGCAGGGCAAGACTCGCCTGTGGTCACTCTGCAGGTTAGAAGCAATACCCTGGTCTCCCAAGCCCCAGTCCAGTGCTCTGCCCACTAGTCCACACTGCCTTCCTGGCTGGGCTGTTTGCACGGTGCCATGTGAAGGGGGATAGCCCTAAGGCCAAGTCTGATCTTCGGGCTGCCCAAAGGATGCGGCTGCTCACCTTGTCCACAGGCTCGATGAGGAAGTCGTTGAAGAGATACCACTGCTGGTGCGTGACTCCCTGGGCGAGAGAGAGAGGCGGGGCTAGTCTGTAGCTTGAGTCACACACTCTAGTTATCAGGCAAACCCAGCTGCCACCTACACTTCGGTTACCCAGGGCACTGGCCCCAAGAATCCTGATAATATTTTCCATCCAGGTGTGGGTTGAATTTTGTTACATGCAACACCAAAATCGAGGTAACTGTGGACCACTGGCACCAAGAAAACACCTAGATCTAGTATCTAGTTCCTAGGTGTGGAAGAAGAAACAATATGAAAACTAGGGATATGCATCGTAAAAGGGATGCAAATTAGACATATCGCAATTGCAAATGAGGGATAAGGGATCTTTCGGAAAAGGCTTTATTTTCCGAAAGATCTGCGTCTAGACAGGCGCTTTTTTCCGGCCAAGACGGCAGCCATTTTTATGCTAATGAAGCGGGGGAGATTTAAATCCCCACTTCATTTGCAATTGCGATACGTCTAATTTGCATCCCTTTTACGAAAAAGGGATGCAGTCTAGACACAGTCTTGGAGGGCATGTATGTGCTCCTCCTTGCTAACACCTCTCACTAGTAAACACTCCAAAATGAGGCATGTTGAAAACAGCTAAATCAAAGGCATGGCGATTAAGTAAAAGCATAAAAAATATGCACCAGAGGCCCAAGTTAATAATCCACTCCTGCCAGAGTCTGACCACTGATTCTTCAGGGCAAGCTGCTCTCCAAAAATGAAGCAGCTGTGCTCAAATACTAGGATGCAACAGGTGTTTGCAGTTCAAAAAACCTATCCCTCTTGCATGTTATTTGCATGCGTTTCTCCACTTTAGAATGCTAAGCAAATCTGGGAGTCAGCTAGCACTGGTTAAGCTCTGGCAAATATTGCTACAATGTTTTCGGATACTGGGAAGGAGAGTAAAAGGCCTTCCCTCAAGCTGTGTGTGTCGCCAACTCAAAGGGTGTGTCTACACTGTGCTGCTTCTAGCGACAAGGCTGTGTCAACACAGCCCTGTCACTAACCGTCCCACTAGAAGTCAAAACTCTGCTGCTCGGCACTTCTGTTGAGGGGGTTTTGCTTGGTTGGCAGCAGAGCGCTCCTGCTGACAAATTGTTGGCTTGAGTAATGTGGCTAGCTGGCTATAGCATTTTCAGAATAATGTGGCTAGTTAGCACTACGGTGGGTACTGCTTCAGAACTGACTGGACACCACGGCCTTAAGCCACTGGTCACCAACCAGTAGATCGGGATCTCTTGGGAGATCTTGGACTCTGACAGGTGATCCTGACTAGTTTGGCTGGCACATCAGCTGCCCCTCTCCCCAATGCCATGGTGCTCCTGCCCTATGCCTTGGAGATGCCCCCCTGGGAGCCTCCTGCTTGCTGTGCAAGGTGAGGGAGGCAGAAGTGGGGGGCACTGATATTAGGGTGTCCCCCTGCCCCGTAATCCATCTCCCCAGAGTGAGAAGGGGCAGGGGAAGGAGGCAGGGCAAAGGTATTTGGGTTTGTGATCTTGTGCTTCGAAAGGTTGGACACCACTACCATAAGTCATTGACACCTACCTAAACATTGCTGGAAATGCTATCATTCCAATGTCACAAGCTAGGCCCCTCCTCGTGCTTTTGCCACAGTGTTCGTTCACTAACGCCTGAGTCATGCAAACGCTTATGCCACGGAGCCCTCCACCTGCCTAACTGTTTGCAGGTGCAATAGCTGCGATTTTATCTACCCTACCAGGTTTTGTCAGCAAAACTTGGGCTGACACCCTAAAGTTGATCAAACAAACATTGCCAGGAGGGGTTCACGCTTGTTCCCTCTGTGGACAGATCGTGTCCACATTAGGGCATGTTCATCGACACTGAGAGCAGTGCACTGTGGGTACGTATCCCACAATGCAGTGCTGTGGGAAGGTGGAGATGATCCTTGCTCATCTTGCGAGTCCCTCTTAGTTCCCCCTACTGCTGGGTTCCTAGCAGGGCAGAACAGAAGAATTCCAATGATTCGCTCTGTGTTTGTTCCCCAAATGGAGCAGCACACCAAGAGCGTGTCTTCACTATGGGCTGGACCGAAGGGCAGCGATTGGCCAAGAGGGGTCGATTGATCGTGTTGAGGATGCAGTAAGTCGATTGCCAAGCACTCTCCCATCCCAAAATGAGAGGAGTAAGATGGGAGAGTGTGAGCAGTTGACTTACTGCTGCAAAGATACTGCAGTAAGCGGACCTACATCTATTGACTATTATTGACACAGCTGAAGTTGCATCACTTAGCTCAACGGCCTGTCGTCGTGTCGTCAAGGCCTCAGCTGTCAGATACTTCCTCGAGCTTTGAAACAAGAGGGGCCTGTGCCTACAGGGCAGCAGAGATCAAAACACTGGGGCAGGCATTGCAGGGTAATGATCTGTGGACTAAACAAACTGTAGTGTCTACACTGGCTTTTTGTCAACAATAAAGGGAAGGAAAAAGGACAAAGGGGTGGAAGGTTTTGGTAGCCAAACTGGGGTGTTTTTCCTGACAAAAGTTCCATTGCAGCGTGTATGCTCTCGGTATTTTGTGGCCAAAAGGAAGTTTTTGGCAACAAAACTTGGTAGTATAGAGAAGGCCTAAGCGAGAGTAAATAGCATGAAAGCAGCTTCTTAAAGCAACCCGAATCAAAATAAAAGCACAGATCTATTCCGTCTAAGCTTGGATTGCTGTACTTGACCCATACAAATCATTACAACAGGAAGTGCTTTTACAGTTTGGTCACTGTGTGGACTTGACAACAGTTTGAAGGCTGATCTTGCGCTTACTTAGACCTCACTGAAACCCAGTCTGCAATCTGTGCTCTTTAAAAATACTCACAGAACCGCCTCAGAACTCTAGGAAGAGGCCAGACTACAAAAACAGCCTAAATGGTTTACAAAAGAAAAACATCAATACAAGTGAAGTCAGATCCCACATTAGATCTGCTAATGCAGCATCAATATTGCTTGGGAGAGAAGGGGTCTGAGGATCAGGAGAAGGGGTGGAATGTGTGTGTGGGGGGACAGAGTGGGGATGGAGCCTGAAGGGGGGGGAGTATCCTGGGCCCCACACACCCCTAGGGATGGCCCTGCCTCCCCCTCTGGAACACAGCCCCTTCCTGAGACACTCTTGGGAAAAGACCCAGCCAAGAGGGGGTTCCTCCAGGACAGGGCTGGGGTCCGAGTGGGCAGCAGCCCCAGCACGGCAGCTGGGAGAGAGGTGGGCTGTGTCCGCTCACCTCTTTCCTTTGGTGGTACGTCTCCCCTACTTTGATGTGCCCCACCAGGCTGCCCCCGGTGCGGGGGTCCAGAATGTGGACGACGGTGGCCATCAAGTCGTACACGTACGTCGAGTCCTGGTCGTCGGACGAGCTCAGCTGCAAGGCAAAACCCAGCCTGGTAATTACGTGGCTCTGCTGGGAACCGGCTGCCCGGGGCAGGGATGGACGTCGCTCAGGATATGGGCAGCCTGTGCAATGGGTGATGGGAAATCTTGGGACTAGCAGCTCCTGGGGCTGAGACACAAACCCGCCAAGCCTGGCAAAGCCAGAGCCGACCCGGAACGTGCCCAAGTTCTGCCATCAGGCCAATGGGGGCAGAGAGCGCCTATGGCACCAGCAGGTGAGTCTAGTCTCCCCCACTTCACTCCCCAGCGCAGAGACCCCTGGCTCAGAGGGACCCATTTTGGTGAGCAAATCTCATCTCTTCACCCTTAACCGTCCAGGCGCTCCAACTCCCTCGCGCTGGGGGAGCCCGCTGGCTGCCCGTAGAAACATGGCCACGGTCAGCAGCTCCCTCTCTTTGCCATTAGTCCCAGCCAGCCTTGGACCTCGCCGGATGGACGTTAGGCCCCAGCGGAGGCAGGGACGCGTTACCTCATCGCTTTCGATCCAGTTGCATACGTCCAGCTCCTTGTTCTTGGTCAGTTTCATCCGGATGGAATAGGGCAGCCAGATGTTCTTCAACTCCTCGAGGGAGGGGTACGAGGGCCCCGCCTCAGCGTTCCCCAGGTCCTTCCTGCTAGGAGAGGACACAGGGAATTCCAGACCTTGGATGCAGGAAGGAGGGGAGTTTTGGACACTGAGGGTCAGATCCCTAGCTGGTGTAAAGCAGCATGGCACCAGTGAAGTCCACAGAGCTACACTGATTTGCACCAGATGAGGCACTGGGAGAGAGGCAAGTGGGTGCCAGTCAAAGATGCTCAGTGCAACAGAGGAGGGTGATCACCAGGAAAACTAGACTGCAAGGGACCGAGAGAGTGGAGAAGGCAGCTGCCTCGAGCCACATTCACTCCCCAGAGTAACTCCACTGATGCCAGAGGGCAACCGCAGGCTGCTAAAGGTTATATGGGCAGCTGTAAAGCCAAGGTCAGAAAGGATCGCGGGGAGCTTTTCCCTCGGCATCTGGCCGAAGTCCAGCAGAGGTGCATGTTAACAACACAGCGTTACACAGGGCTGTAGGTCTGCAAACTAATTACATTCTGCCCCCGCTATTTCCTTGAGCAGATTCTTAACTTCATGCATTTCTGATATTGTTGGGTGCCATTAAGCAGCTGCTGCATCCCACCCCAGAGGTGGCTGCATTTCAGGGGGCATGGCAGGCGGGAAAGCAATGTTTGTGGTTCAGTTTATAAAACACTTTGGGACCTCAGGTGCTGTAGACAGGCAAGGGGAAATCACTGTCAAATGAAAGACAGCAACAAGTTCCCCAAAGCCATGGGTAGGATCCAGAAGCCAATCCATGCTCTGACAGCAAGTACCTACCATTCTCCAGGAGAGATCTCTTTTCTCTTGGGTATTTCAAGACCTCCCTTCTTCATCACTGTTTTTTTAAAGGCGAACTGGGAACAAAATAGAGCAAAAACATCAGGGCAGGAGCCAGGAGGAACCTGGCTGAAATAAATGTGTAGCTAGCGGTAGCTAGAAACGGGCAGAGCCCCCCAATACAAAACAAAGCACAAGGAATAATTTCAGTGGAAAACATGCTGGGCAGCCTCGCAGCGGAGTAAAGAGGTTAGCAGGTGTGGGAACCATTTCTGGAACTGGAACCAAATTGAGTATTGAGTTAATGCGAAGAGCTTCATCGCCCACACATGGGACATTCAAAAGGAACACGGACAGGTTAGGAACAAGATTGGTGGGTACTTGGAAAGTTCGTGTCACTGAATTAGCAATACAATAAAAATCCTTCTAAGAGCACGTCCATCCTACAGCTGTGGGAAGTGATGGCAGCTCGGGACGACGGAGGGACGGCGCTTCAGCAAGTTCGCCCAGGACTCAGGGGTCTGGGCTGCTGTAGCTCCGGAGATAGCTGGAGGAAAGTGCCTTCAGTCGTACGCCAGGACTGCACTGTGGACACACCCTCAGTGACCAAGTGCAAGCAGATCCTGCACTCAGCTGGGCACAGAGCAACCTGCGCATGCCCAGAGAACAGACCTGCCCGCTCGCAACCAACGGACATTTCTCTACCTCTGCCTGGGTCTTCCAGAAATCGGCCTCCTTGGAGCTGTTCACTTCGCAGTTAATTACTAGGACATCGGGCAGGCAGCGGATGTTCCGGGTTTGCACCTTTAGTAGGACAGACAGAAAAGGGCAAGAGGGTGAGAGTCAGCCAGAGGCTCTGGAGGGAAGAGGAGACTAAGGGGGGATAGGACAGAGGTCTATAAAATCATGACTGGTGCGGAAAAAGTGAATGAGGAAAAGTTATTTACTTATTCCCACAGTATAAGAACTAATGGTCACCAATGCAATTAATAGGCAGCGGTTTTAAAACAAACAAAAGGAAGTTTTTCTTCACTCAGCGAACAGTCAACCTGTGGAACTCCTTGCCAGAGGATGTGGTGAAGGCCAGGATGTTAACAGGGTTCAAAAAAGAGCTAGCTAGGTTCCTGGAGGTTAGGTCCATCAATGGCTATTAGCCAGGCTGGGGAGGAATGGTGTCCCCAGCCTCTGTTTGTCTGGAAACAGATGACAGGAGAGGGATCACGTGAGGAATGCCTGTTACGTCCCCTCCCTCTGGGGCAGCTGGCATTGGCCGTTGTCGGCAGACAGGACCCTGGGCTAGATGGACCGTTGGTCTGACCCAGTCTGGCCGCTCTTACGGGAAACACAGACTAGTCAATTTCCTCTGCCGAAGCCTCTGCCCACTAAGCTCCCTACTCCCCTGGGCTTAGCCGTGTTCACCGAGATGGAAAACGAGGCACAGAGCAGGGAAGTGACGTGCTCAAAGCTGCAGCGCCCGTGTCAGCCTGTGCGAGGCTCAGAACACGGAACCTTCGCCCTCTCTAGCCCCTCCAGAGTGGTCCCATCCCGTTCCTCCGCGGCCGACACTGGCCTGTGCTCTGCCCTGTCCGTTCTGAGCCGGGGTTCCCGTGGGAGGCCGAGGCAGTGGGGGGCGAGCTCCACCACTTCTCTGCCCAGCGGGTGCCTGCGACGAAGGGGATAAGCAGGCCTTGAGTGGCCACCTCCTCCCAAACTCACCGTGGGCTGGTACTTCTCACAGTTCTCGCACCAGGCCTGGGTGTTCTGCTCCAGACAGATACTCCTCTTTAAGATCTCAGCAAACTCGTAATCTCTGGTTTTATCTGAGGGAAGAGGCGGGCGGAGGGGAGAACCCACAGGGATTTAGAACAGATGTGACTCTGGACAGGGCTCTGACCCATTCCTTATAGGGAACAGGCCCCAGCTGCCCGTGTGGCTGACGCAACATGATGGCTGTTTTCACTGGCCAGAGGCGTCTGTACAGTGGGGTCAGTTATCGGATAAAGGCGGGATCCACCAATGTGGGAGTTAAAAGCCCCCCTCAGCCTCCTGAACCCAAGGAAGATGGAGCTGCCCCCTGGTTGACACGTAAAACCATCTGCTCGTCCCACTGCCAGCCCTCTCCATCCCCCGCCCTGGTCCTGCGTAGTTACCGTTGCTCTCGGGGTAGGAGAGAGTGAAGAGCAGTGTGGAGGAGACGCGCACGGTCTCCTTGCCGCAGCGGCACATGCTGCAGTTCTCCACCTCGCAGCTGAAGAGCTGCCCGATGACCGAGTCCCCCGAAGACCCAAAGCTGCTGGAGCAAACGGCACGTCAGGGTCAGCAGGAGCTCATCATTCGGGAGCCTTTCCAGGCCCAGCAGGGCAGCCCCGAGTCCTTACACACCTCTCCCAGCCTGGGCACTTGCAGGCGGCAGCTGCCAACAGGGTTGGAGCCAACCCAGTGGTGGCTCTCAGCAGAGACACTGACCCTCCCGCCCCAAGGCGGCTGACGAGATCCAAGGTTAGTGAGCGGCTGGGCCAGGCCCACGGTAACCTGAGTTGCTAGGAGGCTGTGCGCAGGGTCAGCCCAGCAAGCCCGGCTCCCGCTGCGCGTTCCACAACAGCCGCTGGCTGACCGGGGCCCCGCACACGCCTCCCCAAGGCAGCAGACAGACCCCGTCCATGGCTGTGTGCTCCCACTCCAAGCCCAGCAAACAAAGGGTGCAGGGGGGAAGGATCACCTGCTGCTGACGCCCCGATAGGCCTGTGGCCCCTCCTGCTCCTGGGTCTCCTGGTGAAGCTGAGTCAGGATGAAGCGGTTCCAGCTCTGGATCAACCGGCCCAGGTTCACTTTGCCTGTGGCCTCGTCGGAGTCGGCCAGGATCAGCCCCAGCGCGGACGCCTCCGGGATGGTGCGGAAGGCTCGCAGGAAGTTGCTTCCCTGGGGGAGGAGAAGGATCGGGAGCGCTGGGACCCACGAGGTGACATTCCCTGAATTCCTTGAGGCGGCCCCTCCCACACGGTGGCTTCCCTGTCCCTCCAAACCCCCGGCAGATCTCATCTGCCAGCGAGATGAGACCCTCCTGGGTGGTTCGCCCGAGTCCCTGCCCTCAAGCCAGGGCAGGTGCAGCCCCAAGAGACTCCCCAGACCCTGCTCAAGAAGCTCCCTCCCCTTCCTGCAGCCCCCGTGCTTGGCATTGGCCTCCCACGCACCTGGCACGGGTCCCCCCGGGACAAGTCCAGCATGTGGAAGAGAAAGCCCAGCTCACAGCCGAGGCAGAACTCCTTCTGACACAGGTGGTTCTGGACCAGGCAGCGGACAGGCTCCAGGAAATACAGCACCTGGGGAGGCAGCAGAAGGGCGAGTGAGGGGGGGAGCTGGAAGGCCGCAGCCAGGCCTGGCAGCGGGGGGCTGGGTGCCCGTCGCACCTGGATCATGCAGTTGCAGTAGGCGTTGGGAATGTGAGGCTCCAGGCCCGCAAACAGGGTCTTGTTGTAATGCTTGAAGTCAAAGTCCTCCAGGCCCAGCTTGGAGTATTTGATGGTGACCTGGACAGAGAAGGCAGCCTCAGAAATGGGGGAAAACCTCGGCCCCGAGCTGGTCAATTACATCAGTACACAATCGCCTGCCCAAGCGCTGGGGGGGGGAAGGAGGGGGGGACACCCAGTGAACACACAAGCGGTGACACCAGCACACCCCAGTGCACAAGCGCTTGCTATCACAAGGGATACTAACACAGCACTAGGCAGAAACCGGGGCTATTAAACCCTGGGATGGGGAGGGCAAACCTCCCCTGAACGCTCAGCAGCGCTCAGGAGCAAACCACGAGGGAGAAGTGCTGCCACCCCTCTGGGTCAGCCCAGTCACGTAAGCCACGGAGCTGGGAGCTGCCTTCCCAGGCTGCACTGCTGTAGCCAAACCAGGCTGAGCCTTCCTGTGACTGCTCCTTACATCTGCGCCTGGCCCCTCCACCCACCCACCCCTTTAGCCTGAGGCCCCCTGGCAGACGTGGCATGTTAGACCTTCCTGTATTTCTTCGCCACCATGTAGAGGTGAGGTTCCTCTTCCCGGCCAATTGGGGATTCGGGGACTTGGCTGAAACTGTCAAACTCATTGTCCGTCTCTTTCGGCCGATAAGGGATCTGAGGGGGGCAGGAAGGAAAAGGGTCAGAGCAGCTTAATGCTGAGGCAGAGCAAGCAACCACCAGCACACAATGCCCCCCCATCCCCTCCCCCCACACAGCTGAGCCTGGGGCCCAGAGCAACAGGATAAAGCAAAAAAGGCAAAGGCCACCTCCCGCCACCTCTGCCAAAGCACCTCATTCCCCTTTGCCGTTCCAAAGCTTGGTGCTCTGAGGCCATGCTGGCGCAGAGAACACAGATCAGTGGTTTGCCGGGGGGGGTTTAGGGAACCCCCAGCACTGGGCTCTTCAGCTTTTCACAGTATGGAGCACACAAACTCCCTTGTTTGAGCGGCCTCGGGGCATTTGCTCGCCTCCCGGAGAGGCCAGCTCACCCTGCTTACTTGGCAGAAGAAAACCCTCACGTACCAGTCACAGGGCTTAAAGCCAGGAAGGACCTGAGATCATCGAGCCTGAGCTCCTGCGCAAGCCAGGACACAGACCGTGCCCTGGTCACCCCAGCTTGGAGAACAGGAGCTGCGTCTAATGACACTGACGTCTCGGCTCCCTGAAACCCGCAGCTCTTCAGCCAGCGCTCAGCAGTGCAGCGTTAGTGCTGGGCATAACCTCACACAGGTCTCCCATGCTGGCAGGGAGGCTGCATACACCTGCGCCCGAACACGCACCTGGTTCCGGAGCTTGGTCCTTGGGTTGGGCGCGTAGCCGATGAAGCCCACTTTCTTCATGGTACGCAGGATCTCGGGGTCGACGGGCGGGGCCCGCCTGCAAAACACCGGGCAGCTCACAGGCCAGCCAGAGAGCTGGGCGGACAGCCCTGATCACACGCAGAACAGAGAGAGCAGCTGTGCAAAGTCCCTCTCCGGACACTGTGCTGCCCAGCCAAAGGGGTGGCAGGACTATTCCCTGGGACGCATTCAGTCCTCGGCCTGGTTGCCAAAGGCTGGGAATGGGCGACAGGGGATGGATCCCTGGGGGGTTCCCTGTTCTGTTCTGGCCACTGTCGGTTGGATCTTTGGTCTGACTCAATCTGGCCACTTATGTTCTTATCGCAAAGGCCAGCGAGGGGGCTACCAGGTGAAGGGTTCTGCGTCACAGCAAACCATCACCAGAGCGCAAAGTGGAGCAGGCCTTTCACTTACAGCGGCAGCCAGGCAGCTGTCTCTGGGGCGGAACTCGGCACGTGCACCACACAGCGATTTAGAACAGGGCCAGAGGACACTACTAAAGCTGGTTGGAACGGGAGACTGAGAGATGCAGAATGAATTACCCACACTGAAATCTGACCAGGAAGCTGAGGGCTACACCCTGATTCGTGAGGAAGTGGCATGGGATTTCCCGTGGCCACAAGCAGCCAGCACCTCAGAAGTACAACTCATCAGCGCAACAGCCTGGCATAACGCGGGGCCACTGGGTTGGTACTGACACAGGAGGGAGCGTCTCCTGTTGGATCGACAATACCTCTGCCCGAGGCACCCTACACTTACCCCTTCCATACCTAGCCTGGCCCAACCTGTCTCAGGAGAGCTCAAGGGAACCAGGGCTGAGGTGGCTGGGCTGCCACGCAGGGCGGCTCTGCGCTGCACGTCCGTACGGCTCACAGGTGAGGGGCGTTGCAAGAGCCCCAGTGAATTACCTGGGAGCAGGGGCAGAGTTGGCAGCAGGCCAGTCTGACAGCAGCGTTTCACTGGTCAGCGGCACGGGGATCAGGGAGAGGGGCATGAGGTCCTGGTTCCAGTCCAGGTGAGGCAAGGTGTCTACCATGCAGGGCAGGGCAAAGTCTGTCTCCCGGGAGTAGGCGTTGAAGGTGACCTCAGGCGAGTCGGCCCACAGGTGGACGCAGCCCTCCGAGTCACCGAACACCATGGCCTGCTTGCTGGCGGACACGTCGAAGGTCATGATCAGCTGCCCCACAGTGTTGACGTGGAAGATGTCAGCAGGGCTGGCAAGGCCTGTGGGCTCACAGAACTGGCACTGACCTGCAGAGAGCGGAGAGGCATGGGGAGGGCATCTGGGGCACAGCGCCGAGCTCCCAGCAAACCTCATGCCGACAAAACCCCATACCACCCTCCATCCTGAGACTCCACAGCACTGCCAAACCATCCACGCCAGGACCCTGACTGCACATAACTAGAGCCCTGCGCGGACACAAAATCTGTATCCCGCACCCAGGAAAATGAGCCAGTGATATTGGCACTGACAACTGAGGATGTGGATACCTGCTGACATAAAGCGGGTAGCTGCCAATCTGCAGGGTTCTAGATACAAAATCTGTATCCACATCTGCAAAAACGAGCAGCGGATATAGGTAAATTTGCAGGGTTTCATGTACAATTCAAAGATGCTTTAGGCAAAACAACTCACGTAACAACAATTTTACAGTTACCGGCTGCTGGATCCGTAGAGCCTATTATTGTGCATGTATCATTCTTATATGTGACATTAGAAGTAGGAAGTGTGGCTCTGGTTACAGCTCTAAATATGCTAATGAGGGCCATTACTGATGCTGGAAAACATAATGACTCAGTACTCAAACCAACCACCTGGGAATGGTCACGCTTGTCCTATAAGCCCAAACTGTGGTTAGCCCTAGAAAGACGTGTGATATGTGACCATGCCCTCCCTCTTCCCCCCCGCCCACCTCCACACTGGAATCCATCTTGAACCTGGTATTTTTCCATAGGGATGGGGAATGCAGAACAAAGGGTTCCTGTCCTGGGGGAAAGTCTGTTTAAGGAATGAGAAGCCATCAGTCCTTGGTCTTCAGCTGGCCTTTGGAACTGCCTGGCTCACCCTAAAGATGGGGGTGGGGAACAGTGTTCCCCCTAAGCTGCAGAACAGCACAGCTTCCCAGCTGATGAATCAGCCCCGCCCAGTCAGTCAACACCATGCACACAGCCTTGAGTCTCTGACCGCCTGTGAAGTTGTGCTGCTCCCTGCAAACGCTGGTGGGGAACCTTTTCTGGGCCGAGGGCCGCTGACCCACAGAAAAATCAGTCGGGGGCCGCACACAAGTAAGAAGTGAAAAAACAAACCTCCACTGACAGGATCCCCGAGTGGGAAGGAGAAAGGCCCTTCCCTTTCCACATTCCTCTCACACACCAGAGCCTAGGAGAGGCCCAGGCTAGTAGATGTTGTGTGCCCTACCCCCCAGGAGGGATGGCAATGGGACTGGAGCACCAGCAAGGGCTGCCCAATGCTGGGGGAGGAGCCCCAAGCCTCGGGAGCCGTATCCAGGCAAGCCGGGGGCTGTATCTGACCCCTGGACCTTAGGTTCCCCACCCCGGCCCTAACAGCAGACAAAAAACTTTGAAGAAGCTGCAGACCTGGGCCAGAGGAAAGATCAACTCTGACTTGAAGCTTTTTACCTGCAATAAGAACAGCTGTGCAGGGTAAGGCTTTGCACATAACAGGGGTTAGGGGATTTCAAATAGTTAGCGGGTTTTTGTTCATTTTCATTTTGTAACTTACTTTGATCGGTTTCACTTGCAACCACTGAAATCCCACGGTTTGTACTTCATAAAAGCCCTTTTATTTATTACCAGGCCCAGCGTAAACAATTGTTACCTGGGGGAGCAACCGCTGTGCATCTCTCTCTTTCATTGATAAAGTGGGCAGACCTGCTTAGGAGCTTGGCAGCCCCTGTTGGGCATTGGTTTCCTGGGTGCTGAGCCCTCCCAGACTTGACCTGTTTGTCTGTGTGGCTCCGCAGGGGGCAGTGACCCCAACTCCGTACCCTGGCTGGGAGAGACCAGAGGATCCAGCCCAGCAGCGCAGGGTGGTGCGGCGCTCCAGAGGGTAGGAAGGTGGGCATCAGTGGCATGATCACACACTGGGAGACGACCCCAGGGGATTTCTGTGAGACAACCCGTCACAGACCCTCCCCTGAGCTCTGCCAAACATTCCACTGATTTGCCAGGCCAGGGCTGTGTCAGACCTTTCCCGATTCCAACGGGATCTGGAACCGGTGCCCCGCTGTGGACTAGACCCGCGGGCCAACGATCCAAAGGCAAACCCGCCTACCTGTCTGGGAGATGATGGCCAGCCGGGAGGTGTAGGTGGGGATGAACTTGAGGAAGAGGGGGTCCACGTGCACCTGCAGCGGGGTGATGGCCCGCATCATGCGCAGGTCATACACCTTCAGGAAGCGGTCGCAGGCCAGGCCGTTCATGCGGCTGGAGAAGCCGCACGTCACCAGCAAGTTGCCGTGGACGTCGAAATCGGACAGGCTGCCTGAGTAGGCATCGAACTCGTGCTCCATCGCGAAGGTGCGTAGATCCCGCAGGGACACCTGGGGGGTGGCACAAAGGAAGCCCCGGTAAAGGGAACAGAGGGAATGGTTCCTAGGGGGCTGCTTAGCCCCAGGAGATCAGAGGGACACAATGACCTGGACTCCTTGTGTCATCCTTTAACAGGCTAGAGAGGATGGGCCAGTGGTCAGAGCACCTGCACAGGACTTGGGAGATCAGGGTTCAAGTCCCTGCTCCACCAGACTTCCTGTGTGACCTTAGAAATGTCCCTTAGCCTCTCTGTGTCTGTCTCTACCAGGGGATAAGGGCCCTGCTTGGTATCAGTGAGGACACACTAACAACTGGGAGGAGCTGACACTACTGTGATGGGAGCAAATCACTACTCCTGGCAGACCGAACACGAGGGGAGCAAGGCTGGGACTCAGATCCTTAGCTTGCTCTCTCCACTGTGAGTGGCTGGCCATGCTGTCGGGTGAAGGCTGTCGGGTGAAGGCTTTTGGGGCCAGTCAAGGGAGAGGTGCTGCAGAAACACAAACTCCCTCCCTTGGGTCGCCTGGTGACACAGAGAGGGACCTGCCTGGACAGCAGCTGCATGGCACCAAGCATCTGAAAGAAGACGTTGCTTGTTATGCCAGCCCTGGAAGGGATCTCCTGGCTCAGCCATGCCCATGCACCCTGTTCATGGATGGCTGGCTCATGCTCAGATCACATCAGCACCCTGGGAGAGGACTCGACAGACAGGGGCAGGGCTGAGGGTACCTTCCCGGTAGTGTGCCCGCAAAAGAAGAAGCGGTTGGACTGCCTCAGGATGGTGATGCCAGGCACCTCCACGGTGTACTGGAAAGGAAGGGAAAGGAGTGAAGACAGGACACAATACTCACCCCTCAGCTGGCACAGCCCGGGGGCTATAAACTGGCAAATGTGTGTCCAGCAACACAGGAACCAAAGACCAGGGGGAAGGCAGTGTGAACCAATGGTTAAAGCTGGGGACCGGGGCTCCTGGATTTCTAGCCCAGACTGCCCTCTGGACCTCAGTTTCCCCTGCTATTTATTTAGTGGGGCTAGCGCTCCTTGGCTGTGTCTACATTGGCCCCTATTCCGTAATAGGGATGCAAATGTAGCACTTTGGAATAGGCAAATCCGCGGGGGATTTAAATATCCCCCGCGGCATTTGCATTAACATGGCTGCCGCTTTTTTCCGGCTTGTAGATAAGCCGGAGAAAAGCGCCAGTCTGGATGCGATCCTCCGGAAAAAAAAGCTCTTTTCCGGAGGATCTCTTATTCCTACTTGAAATAAGAATAAGAGATCCTCCGGAAAAGAGCTTATTTTACGGACTGGCGCTTTTCTCCGGCTTATCTACAAGCCGGAAAAAAGCGGCAGCCATGTTAATGCAAATGCCACGGGGGATATTTAAATCCCCCGCGGAATTTGCCTATTCCAAAGTGCTACATTTGCATCCCTATTACGGAATAGGGGCCAATGTAGACACAGCCTTTATGTATTAACCAGCCAGCATACAGTAGTCAAGCAAAGGGGTTTCTGCCCAGCAGTAACCTCTGCATTGGTAGGAGGCATCTGAAACCCTTCCAGCCACCTTTCTGAGCCACACTGAGGGTGTCAGGCTAGAGGTCAGAGAGAGCTCTCCCTGCTCCCAGCCCTGTGGGGCCTGACTCCCAAGGGGCACTAGGCACCCATCTCCCCCACCGAAGCCCATGGGAGGTACCCCTCAGGATCAGGCCCGACCCTGATTGATCGCTGATACCTTCTGGGTCTCCTGCACGGTGTTAAGGTCGATCTCTATCACATGGTTCTGGAGCCCCCCGATAAGCAGGGTGCTGCTGTTTGTCAGCAGCAGGCTGTGCACGTCCTCGCTCTCATCCATTCTGATGGAAAAGGAGAGAAGGCAAAAGCTCGTTCTCCTACTCAGCTCCGCCTCCCTCTCTCTCAGAGGCCCTCCTTCACACACCTCCCCTCCACAGGGCCACACGGAATGGGGAGCCCGTTCCCCACAGCACAGACTCGGATTGGATCAGCATTGATATGGGACCGTCTCCCCTCCCCGTGCGAAAGGAATGCAGAGCTGCACTGCAGTGCCCGTGTCGTGTCATCGTTAGCAGCCAGGGGCTGAGCGGGGCTCCCTTCTGGGCCCTAGAGAGAATCCCTGCAGGCCTTTCGCCGGCACCTAGTGGAGGAAACTTACAGGTAGTCAAAGATGATCAGGCCTCCCCTGGACATGTACTTGAGGTTCGTCTTGGTCAGGAAGAGGATGCCGTTCTCCAGGCTCTGGATCTGGCGGATGTCGTCGCTGCTGCTCACTTGGAAGGAGGAATAACGCTCCAGGGCTGGGCCGAAGAATGAGGTGGCGTGACCCTGTAACAAAGCAGAGAAGAAAGGCCGACCTGCGGTGGACCCTTCAACGTGCTCCAATACCTCACCAGCCTTGTGCTAACCCCATGTGGCCCGATGCCACAAAAATCTCCAAACCCAAGGCCAGAAGGGCTCACAGTGACCCAGTCTGACCCCCCGTCTAGCACAGGCCACGGCACTGCCCTGGACTAATTCCTCTCGGAACCAGAGCCTGTTTTTTACAAAAATATCCAACCTTGAGTTTAAAACTTGCCAGTGGCGGAGGCTCCACCATGACCCTTGCTCAACTGATCCAATGGAGAATTGCCCCTCGCTGTTCACAGTGTGTACATTCCTGTCTGGCTTTGTCTAGCTTCATCGTCCCGACCCTGCTCGCCTTAGACTGCTGTCTGCCCGCCCAAAGAGCCTGCCAGCAAATATCAATACCCACCTCTTTATACAACATGCCCAACCCTCGGCTGCTGCAGTGGCAGGGACGTTACAAGGGAAAGTGGACAGAGGAAGCGTGAACTGCAGGTACTGGAGGGTACCACCAAAAGGGGGAAAGTCTCTCGTAGAAGTATGCCTACGAGAATGGGCTTGCAACCACATTCTAATAAGAGGGGCAAAGAATTGGTGAGGCAGACAGACCAGCCCAAAAAAGTCCGGACCAGCGGGCAAAATTCAGCCTTCTGGAGAGGAGGGGATTGGCATCAGAAGGGCAGAAGGAATGAGTGGGGACAGCACACAGGCAGGGCCAAGGCTATCGATCAGAGACAAGGCACCACAAAAGGTCAGACTAGATGATGGAACAAGGGCAAGAGACGGAAGGAGGAGAACTTGTCTGTTCCAGCACAGCAGGGAGGTGTGATGGACCAAGGCTGCACTGTAGGATAGGGATGTTAAATATCGGTTAATTGAATAGCTGATTAACCTCATGAATCCTTAGTCGACTATTCTATAGTGCCTGAGGGTGGGGCCGGCAGGAACCCCTAAGGAACCCCTGTCACTCCGTGTTGCTACCTCTGTATCAGAGGCAGCAGCACGGGGTACCAGGTGGGAGCTGGTCCGCGAGGAGAGCCAGTCTAAAAACCAACTCCCCTCGTGGGCCAGCTGCCTGTCACCCCATGCTGCTGCCTCTGATACAGAGGCAGCAACACAGGGCAGCAGCAGCCCCTGTCCAGGAGGGAGCTGAGCTTCCAGACCCGGCACAAGCTGGAACTGAGCCAGGCTGCCTGCCTGTCTGGCTCCTAATACACTTTAAATGCAGAACGGTAGCAAGGGTAGGTGCCGGACCTGGCGTGAGCCAAGACTAAGCCAGGCTGCTGGCCAGCCTGCTAAAAAAATCTACTGGCGGACAGTGGGGAAGATGCATGTAGTCTATAGCATTAGCCAATAAGCTTTTGCGTATTGGTTAATCGGTTAATCGACTCCACTGTTACATCCCTATTGTAGGACAAAAGGTATATGGGACAGGACAGACCAAACATGAATTCTAGTACAACAGGAAGGAAAAGACTCCAGACCACATGAGCATTGGTTTATTCTGTTACAAAGATTCTTAAGATGGGGTGGCCTGCAATTGCAGGGGACTGAATTTAACAAGGTGCCTTCTGGTCCTACATCCCACATTCTACACCAATAACCAAAGGATCTGTCTTACTGGTTCATCCACTCACTGACAAACATAAGGGAAAAGAGGTCAGCCCCTCTCTTTTGAGTTTCTCATCCTCCCATTTATCCCCAAGACCCAAAAGGCACCTTTGGTCATTTCCCTCATTAGTAAATGACCCAAGACACATGTAAGCGACTGAAGAAACAAAAACCTCACAGCCCAATAAATCAGAGCAGACAAATGACGAATTCAAAACCCAACCACCCCATCCCCAAGGCACCACACGGAACACCAAATATCACCTACCCCGTGGTTCCCCACCCAGAGCATCTCTTCGTGCAGATCGAAATGCGAGGTGGAGACAGGTACTCCCACCTCGGAGACCACGGTGTGCAGCTCTGAGTACATGCCTTCCATGATGTGCACTGACTCCGGCACCGGGATGCCCTCCAACGGCACCCCTTCTGGATCCAGCTCCACATTCTGCAGCAGGCTGGGGTTGAGGTGAGGGTCCAAGACTGGATCCAGGGCTGGGTGGAGAGTGGGCGCGTACTCCGCAAGGCCAGGGTCGAGGCCTTCAAAGTTCATGATGAAATTGGACGTCTCCCTTGAAAACAATGGGCAAATCAGAAACACCAAGGCCCCTACGTCTTAGCAATTAAACAGCACTATGGGTATTAGGATGGATGAGGTCTATGAAGTCTCTAGCAATAGTTGAGTATTTAGCTCAGCTCTAATATAAAACCCATGACAAGTCCCTTCGTGAGACGTTCTTTACCCTTCTATCTTTAAGTGCCCAGAGGGGAAGGTGTATTTAGCCCTGCCCTGAGATGGAGGAGAAGCAGCTCAACCCTTCCATCCTAAACATGACTCCTCCCCACCACTTCCTCTCCCTCCTGTGGCCTAAATCTACATTGCAATGGCCCCTGGACTCAGTGCTGCAGCAGACACAGTGCAGTGGTTGGTTTTCGCCTGGCACAGGAGCTGTCCATGGCAGGGGTATCGCCAAGATCCCTTTGTACCAGTGGGCCATAATAGCACAGTACTGAAACTGGCTCTTTGACAGACACCAGAGGCTTCCGTTAGCCACTGACTGACCCTGTAACAATAAAGAGTCACCGCACTGAACTGAGAGCCGCCTAGTGATCACAGTGGAGGAGTGGGATTCGGCTGGACGGCAGAGACCAGCCACACACGAGCCCCTTCAGCAAAGGTCCATTTAGTTCCCAGGCCTTAGAACATGGTCACCTACCTGCTGACAACCAACCCCACTCTGCTCATTACCCATCAGTTCCCCCACCATTCCTCAACAAGTCATAGATCCACTGGGCTCAACTCTGCCTGTGACCACTGACAGGGTCTTGTAACCGAAATGCTGAAATCTCAGTTACCAACGTGGAGGTGAAGAGCGATTCTTACCCAGAAGTCTCTGCTAATTTACCCAGAAACCTTTGGTTCTGCAGCCAAATTAGCCACCACCTTCTGCCTGAGGACTGCACGACCCAGAAACCTCTACCATGCAGTCAAGTTACCCACGAACCTCTTCCTGGGGGCATGTTACCTAGAATCCTCTGCTCTGATGCCAAATTACCCACAATCCTTTGTGCATGGCACACTATCCAGAATCCTCCACTCTGTGGCCAAGTTACCCTCAATCCTTTGCGCATGGCACACTACCCAGAATCCTCCACTCTGTGGCCAAGTTACCCACAATCCTTTGCGCAGGGCTATGTTACCCAGAATCCTCCGCTCTGTGGCCAAGTTACCCACAACCTTCTACCCTTGGATGTGTTACTGAGAATCCTCTGCTCTGATGCCAAGTTACCCACAATCCTTTGCACAGAGGCATGTTACCCAGAATCCTCTGCTCTCTTGCCAAGTTACCCACAATCCTTTGCACAGAGGCATGTTACCCAGAATCCTCTGCTCTCTTGCCAAGTTACCCACAATCCTTTGTGCAGGGGCATGTTACCCAGAATCCTCCACTCTCTTGCCAAGTTACCCACAATCCTTTGCACATGGCACGCTACCCAGTATCCTCCGCTCGGTGGCCAAGTTACCCACAATCCTTTGCGCATGGCACGCTACCCAGAATCCTCCACTCTTTGGCCAAGCTACCCACAATTCTTTGCGCAGGGGCACGCTACCCAGAATCCTCCGCTCTGTGGCCAAGTTACCCACAATCCTTTGCGCATGGCACGCTACCCAGAATCCTCCGCTCGGTGGCCAAGTTACCCAGATCCCTTTCCTCAGGGGTTACATTACCCAGAATCCTCTGCGCTGCGGCCAAGTTACCCAGGCTCCGCGCGGGGGTACCTTACCCAGGATGCTCTGCGGCGGCGGGGAACCAGAATCCTCCGCTCTGTGGCCAAGTTACCCACAATCCTTTGCGCATGGCACGCTACCCAGAATCCTCCGCTCGGTGGCCAAGTTACCCAGATCCCTTTCCTCAGGGGTTACATTACCCAGAATCCTCTGCGCTGCGGCCAAGTTACCCAGGCTCCGCGCGGGGGTACCTTACCCAGGATGCTCTGCGGCGGCGGGGAATGGCATGGCAACTTCCAGCGCCTCTGGCTCCGCCTGCTCAACCACTCCTCAGGCTGAGGGTTCCCTCCGCCTGGCAGGGACCGGGACCAATGAGAGGGCGCGCTCAGAGCTCCGGCCAATCAGAGGGAGACGGGGGCGGGACTAACAGGTTGCGGTGGCTTGTCTCCCAGCTTGGGAGAGAAAACAAGACGGGAGGTCGGAGGGGACATAAAGATCCGAGTCAGTCTCTCTTTACGGCAGCGATTCCGCTGTGACTTAAAGGGCCAGCCGCAACGGAATTTCTCAAAGGGACATCAGAACGTAGGACCTTTTAAAGGGCCAGCAGCAGCACAGTGGCGTTTATCTCTATAGAACACGCCCCCAACAAACACACCCTTGACTGGCGAGGCGGGGGCTCGGGGGGGGTGAAACCCACAGCAAACAAGCCTAGACGGCAGCATCTCATGGGGCCATCATGCCAACGTCCAGTCTGGGAGCAATTTGTGACATGAGTTTGGTGGGTCTCAGCTGTACCCCCCTAACAATTTACACCCACAGCTCTCTACCTCTCCTCCCAGCAAAGTGGTCAGGCCAGGAAGCAGCCTTCACGTTCAGCATGGCTGTGTCTACACTGGGCCACTTATTCCGGAAAATCAGCCGCTTTTCCGGAATAAGCTGTGAACTGTCTACACTGGCCCTTGAATTTCCGGAAAAGCAACGATGCTCTACTGTACAAAATCAGCCGCTATTCCGGAAAAACTATTCTGCTCCTGCTCGGGCATAAGTCCTTATTCTGGAACACTGTTCCGGAAAAGGGCCAGTGTAGACAGCCCAGTAGTCTTTTCCAGAAAAAAGCCCCGATCGCGAAAATGGCGATCGGGGCTCTTTTCCGGAAAAGCGCGTCTACATTGGCCACAGACGCTTTTCTGGAAAAAGGGCTTTTCCGGAAAAGCAGCCTGCCAATGTAGACGCTCCTTTTCCAGAAAAACTGAAAACGGAATAGTATTCTGTTTTAAGCAGTTCCGGAAATTCATGCCAGTGTAGACACAACCCATGGGTTTTCACCCATAGCTCATCCTCTGAAGGGCCCCAGTCTAATCAGTCTATCCCCATACACGTCTATCTATCCCTTTCATACCCATCCGTGTATCCCCTTCACACCCATCCATCCATCTAGCTAGCTAATCATGCCCCCTGTCCACAGAGCGGTATCCATGTTAGTCTGTTTCAGCAAAAACAACAAGATGTCCCAAACTGGAATTTATATGCAAATTTGACACCATCAGAATGGGTCTGAATAGCCATTCCTAGTCTCTAACTCATTACGATATCAAGGAGGGGTCCTGTCACACCTTAAAGATTATCCAATTTATTTGGGCATAAGCCTTTGTGGGTTAAAAAAAAACCCACTTTGTCAGATCTATGGCATGGAAATCACAAAGGTAGGAGGGCTATATATATATGTACTAGCACAGCAAAAGAAAAGAGGAGCACTGAGCCTCAGGGGCCGGATCCAGACAAGCCAGGGGCTGCATCTGGCTTCCAGGCTTTAGGTTCCCCACCCTGCTCTATGATGAAGGACAAATGGACACAAATCAGACATCAGAAATGGTAACACACATAAACCTAGGGGAACACTGTAACCTACCTGGCCACTTAATCATAAAGTAGCCATCCTTCTACAAAGGAATTTCACCACCCAATTACAGAGAGAAACTACAGAACTGGAATTCATCTACAACTTTGACACTATAACCCTGGGCTTGAAGAAAGACATTAATTGGTTAAAGCAAAATGCAGGACAATGTAGCACTTTAAAGACTAACAAGATGGTTTATTAGATGATGAGCTTTCTGGAAGTGGGTCTGGCCCACGAAAGCTCATCATCTAATAAACCATCTTGTTAGTCTTTAAAGTGCTACATTGTCCTGCATTTTGCTTCAGCTACCCCAGACTAACACGGCTACATTTCTATCACTATTAATTGGTTAACACATTACAAAGCCAATTTCCCCTGCCCTTGACATCCTCGTTTTCACATCAAAAGCTATGAATGGGACACATCCAGCCTATAGTTAGGTGGACTTACTGCCGTGGTGTCCTCACAGGTCTCTGGCTCTGTCGATGATGGTAACCGGAAGACTGCTTGTGTGTGTGTGCTCAATGATGTGGGCCCAATGACCACAGCAGACCCCAAGAGGGCCCCCAAACACCACAAACCAGATAAGGATGGAAGGTGCCAGGCCAGGTTTATTGTCGAGCGAAGTACAGTAACAGTTGTCAGTAGACTCTACTGAACCACTATGCACATGTCCTTGCCACAATGGCATGACACAATCAGTGGGAAATTTCCACTGCTCCCCCCCAGTCATACAAAGGCTGTCCCCCCAAGACACCACCTTATATACAGATACAAACAAATCACACCTCACTACTGACATTGTCAGGTTACCACCCTCTGATGCTACTTAGATACCACCCATCACCCTGTACCTCGTGGTTTTATTAGATCATCTCTAGCCATCATTCTGTCATTTTAGACCCTTTCTTGAACCTAAGTCTGTGTCTGTGAGGAGTGGGTACCACAGTCTTTTTTAACAAGCTAGTGATATTCTGTGCGTTCCACTTATGACCAGTACCAATTATTGTTCTGCCCTTGGTTCTATTACCAATTAGTGTTTTGCACTCTTAGCCCTGTTTGTGCCAAGTTTTGTGAGCTGGGGCCTGCCTCTTGCTCACAGTTTAACTTTGCTTTATGTTAGCCATGTTTTGTCCATTGTTAGCTAGGCCTCAGCTCCTCGGGCCAGGCCTGTCCTGCATTGGCTTATGTTTTAAGCCTTCATCATACCACACAGACCGCTTAATTAGCTTCATTAACCCGGGGCCTACAATTGACAGGTACTTCTTCTGCTATGTAGATCTTGGATTCTGTTATTGCCACTCCAATTCAACTGATGAAGTGGGTCTTACCAGGTTACCAGGCGGCTTAAAAAAAAATACCGGATACACTTGATCTCAGATGCGGGGGGCGGGACACCAGCTGGGAGTGGAGGGGAGCGGGGCTGGCTGGGAGGATGTGTGTGAGGCACTAAAAAAGCACTATGGATATCAAGTGGATAACTATGGGTAAACATACTTGCATGCATAAAGTTGGAGAAAATGCCATTTGTCTATTTTGAACTTGATTTTCCATGACGTGTATTTAAAAAATCTGAATCTTATGGATGGCCGATGTCAGTAATAAGACACACACTTAGGACATTTTACTTTACTGAGTGCTTTTTGGTTAACGACAAATGCTTATAATAGGGTTACCAGGTGGCTTAAAAAAAAATACTAGACCCACTTGATCTCACGGGGAGGAGAGGGGGAAGAGAGAGAAGATATGACCGGCCAGGAAAGGGGGCCGGGGGAACCGGCCAGCAGGAAGCAGGTCTGGCTGGGAAGGTGAGCGGGGGGAGAGAATCAGCCAGCAGGAAGCGGGACTGACCCGGGTGCACGCAGATCCTGGGGCACTGTCCGTCCCGCACATGGTCCCGGTGAAGCACGAGCGAGTCTGGCCCCAGGGATTCCCTCCCACCCTGGCACCATCCCCTCTCACGTACAGTGAGCGTGTCTACCAGCCAGGCAGTTCGCAACTGAATACTGATACTCCTAATAATCATAAAACTTACTGAATTAGAAACTACCAGACATTGTATGTGTCTGGTATTTTCTTATTTTTTTTCTTGGACAGAATCCTCAAATACCGGACTGTCTGGTTCAAAACCAGGCACCTGGCAACTTTAGTCTTACCCAAGAAACTCATGATACTGTGTATTTTTGTTAGTCTCTAATGCAGGGCTACTCAATCAGGGTTGCCAAGTGTCCAGTTTTGAACCGGACAGTCCAGTATTTGAGCTTTCTTTTTGGGAAAAAAATTGAGAAAATATAAATGTCTGGTATTTTCTAAATAAGATGGAATGTAGCTTGTGATGTAATGTCAAGCGTGTCCGGTATTTTTGTTGACACCATCTGGCAACCCTAGACCACAATGATACTCACAGTACATCCCGAGAGCCACAGCCTAAGTGCAGTTGCATATACATGTAAATATATATGCAAATATATACAAATAGCTTCCTTCACACTGACAGGCATGAATACAAAGATTAAGGCAAGATACACCACACACAGGCCCCATTTAAGTCAGTTCTGCTGATATTAACAAAACGCAATATTTACCCGATTTCCACTCATATGACTGCACTTTTAATGAGCAATGACAATCCAGGAATGTAACTACTAAAACTCATAACAACAGACCATTCTATTGACTCGCCATTGTGAAGCGTGTTCCTAGTGAAGGCCATGTTCAAAAGCTCCAAACGGCACCACGGGCCACAAACAAACAGGGCCGCGTGTTGAGTAGCCGTGCTCTAAGGTGCCATGGGACGACTTGTTTTTAAAGTTACAGACTAACCCAGCTAGCTGCCCCAAGACGCCTTGTTTTTTCCTATCCACGGAGTAGCTCATCCCAACTACACAAAGACACCAGGGCTGCGTCTAGACTGGCATGATTTTCCGGAAATGCTTTTAACGGAAAAGTTTTCCGTGAAAAGCATTTTCGGAACAGAGCATCTAGATTGGCACGGATCCTTTTCCACAAAAGCACTTTTTGCGGAAAAGCGTCCATGGTCAATCTAGACGCGCTTTTGCGCAAAAAAGCCCCGATTGCCATTTTCACAATCGGGGCTTTTTTGCGCAAAACAAATCTCAGCTGTCTACACT